AATCAGGGGTGGTGCGGGAGTCCTTAGTCGTGGGTGGAGGGGAAGTCTTTAGTCGTGGGTGGTGCTTTTGTCCTTAGTCGTGGGTAGTGTTGTATCCCTTAGTCGTTGGTGTAGGGGTAGTCCTTAGTTGTGGGTGGTTCGGTAGTCCTTACTCGTGAGTGGTGCGACAGTCCTTAGTCGTGAGTGGTGCCTTAATTCTTACTAGGGGTAGTCCTCAGTCGTAGGTGATGCGGTAGCTCTTTAATCGTGAGTGGTGCGGTAGTCCTTAGTCGTGGGTGGTGTGGTATTCCTTAGTCTTAGGTGGTGTGGTAGTCCTTAGTCGTGGGTGGAGGGGTAGTCCTTAGTCGTGGGTGGTGCGGTTGTTCTTTAGTCATAGGTGGAGGGGTTGTGGGGGTGGGATAGCCTGGGATGTATAGCATGTCCTGACCTCCTCGAAGTCTTTTTGTTCTCAGACTTGGCGTTACAGAGTAAAGCTATAACCAACCTGAAATTTACTCATATTAGTTTGTGAAGAAAGTGTGTTATGTAAGCCCAGCGATCTTATACCAAGAGGTAGTCTACAAAACTTAATGTGCTCGATTGAAAAGCTAAAATATACACTATGCTCCTTATCATTGGTGACAAGTTTGTTTACTTAAGATATCTGTCACTCGTTAAGGTTCATGTCTGACATGTTTCAAGCCCAAGTTGTGTCACGTCACATCTAGGGGATTAACTTTGCCCGAACAGCTGGTTCATACCTTGCCCTCTAGATAATCATGTCTTGGTAATTTATTGCCGGTGTGTTGTCGTAATTTATAGCCGGTGTGTTTCTATCTCCAGCCTGGAATGTACACACCAGAATGAAGGCACATGTGACTGGATAGAGCCACCTACAAATGCACTTTTAAGATCGGACTCCTAACGTTCGTAAAGGGACATATGCTGTTTAGGCGACACTGAGGGAAGGACCAGATTATATTCTGGAGGGTTGGGATTTTATCGAAAATATAACTTGTCCAAGTACACACTGGAAACAATTATCTATACTTCCGACTGATGAAAAAACAGAAATTGTCAGCCACGAGAAATACGTTGTTTTCAAAACATTTAGGCTCATAATTTTTAATTTGTTCTTAATTAACAAATATCTGCTTTTGGTGGTGTAGCTGAATAAATAAATCTCGTTTCCATGCAAAGATCGAGACCTCTCCCCAGAATATGAAACAGTGAGCCTTCTATGAACATTATAAACAATAGGTTATCGATAAGAGGAAGATGTAGTATTTTGTCAACAGTTTGATCTGTCGCCGCCATTTTTATACTGACACGGTAGACACAATTTTATGGATAACAACTTCTTTAATACTGTAAAAAGCGACGTTTCGGTATAGATCCTTATATAGTTGTCAGCAGTTGTTATCCATAAAATTGTGTCTACCTTGTCACCCATCAACTTCTAAGTAATGCCTATCAAACCATTTACTTTTCTACTATTTCTATCGGCATTTCTTTGCAACAGATTTACATTAAAAGCATTACTTCAAAGAAACAATAGATAAATATGTTTATTCAAAATATATTAATTTGTGTTCGTTCTGATTAAATTATATTTTAAATAATATTGTCTGTAAAAAAGGTTTGTCAAACGTTTCAAATATGTTACTTACTCGAGCTGAGTGTGTTCTCAACCGAAACCACAGGAGCAACCCTGGTGTATATATATTCTAAACCTCTTGACACATTCACAAATAAGTCAAGTGACAGGTATTTCAGTGATGGCTTTGTATGCTGTTAATGTCTTTGCTTATTTGATAAAAGCGTTATACTAGGGTAGATAGTCAATGTAAAGAGGTTATTGGTAAAAAGACATGTTCATAGGCCGGGTGCTGACACAGCCTAGAACAGAACTCTTCACATCCACCTGCAAGGTGCAATAACTACAATGGAACTGTCCAGTGCTATGTTGCAACGTAAAGGTGACGTGAAATGGGATTTAACGTCGCGTTCAATAGTAGGTGGTGAGGTGAAGTGGGGTTTAACGTCGCGTCCAAGATTATTGCACTTATATAGCGACGTGCATGTACGGGTGTGTGTTTGTGTGGCTGCTTGTACTAGTCCGGACTGATGCCGATTTATAGTGCTAGCTCACTGAGATACCATGCTGCAGTTTAACATGAATACCCCACTCAGACACAGTATACTGACATCTGAGCCGACCAGTCCTTGTTTTAGCAACTTAATGCCGAGCGCCAGACAGGGTGGTGTCTAGCCGTGAGAGCCACATTTCAGAAATGGATATTGCCGGTAGAGCCACATTTTCAGCTGAGTGCATTTCACCTATTCTAGCGGGTAATTAATTAATCCGATTACCGATACCTTTAAATGAGTGTCCCACATTTAAATTAGTAAGCGTGGTGTTCTTTAGAGATACCTTTAAATGAGTGTCCCACTTTTAAATTACTAAGCGTGGTGTTACTTACTTACTTACTTACTTATATTGGAGATTTAACGTGCGCTTTCCGACTGCAAGCGTATGTCGCACACGGGCCCGGCCAGGCCATTTAATGTGTTTCCAAAAAGGGGAAAGTGAGTTTGTGCAACCCGGAGGGGGGCATTAGGGGTTGCTTATATAGTAATTTTGAAATTTGGAAAGAATGCCAAGAGTGGGTGGGGGACGAAGTAAGGGAGCTTGCCAAGAAGTGCCACCCGACCATCTACGAGGTAGTGAAGCTATTTCAGCGAGAGCAGTCACTCAAAGAGGTTACAGTCCTGTGACTCTCTCACCAGTGGTCAGAACCTTCACGAAGAAAGAAGTACACGGCAAACGATGCACGTATTGCGTCCCTCAAGATCCAGCTCCTGAACCAACATCGGAGTGAGATGGAATATGCTGACCACGTGGGCGACCCCCTTTCTTCTGCAGTAATGACATTAAATCCATTATGCTATTCATATGCTATTCATATTCATCAATGTAAAGTTTTGATGAATATGTTACTGTTATCCTTGTTGAATAAAAAAATGAGAAAACAAGACTTGTTTTGTTATATACGGTAACCTGTTAGAATCACAAAGCATGTTTTGACAGCATAGCCGCGAGAGCCACATTATACAATCACGCAACCATAACCATTGCCGCGAGAGCCACATCAATTTGGGCTATCTATTTTCGAAATGTGGCTTTGCGGGCCTGTAACCGACAGGGTAACAACAAGTACCGTCTTTTAACGTCTTTTTGTATGACGCGGCTGGGGATCGAACCCCGGACCTTCCGCTCTCCGGGCGGACGCTCTACCACTAGACCACGGAGGCGGTCCGTTCAATAGTAATGCACTTATATGGCGACGTGCATGTTCATGTGTGTGCCTGTGTGTGCCTGTGTGCGTGTGTGTGTGTGTGTGTGTGTGTGTGTGTGTGTGTGTGTGTGTGTGTGTGTGTGTGTGTGTGTGTTTGTGTGCCTGAGTGCGTCTATGTGTCTGTTTGTATGTGTCTGTGCGTGTGTCGGTGTATGTGTGTCTGTCTGTATGCGTCTGCGTGTGTGCGTCTGTCTGTGCGTGTGTGTATCTGCTTGTACTAGTCCGGACTAAAGAAGTAATTTTGAAACAGTGCCTGTCAACTGTAAAAGTGAATCTTTGATATCTTAGTCTACGAGGTCAAACCTGTCAAATTAGCACACGCTTTTTATCAAACAAGCAAACATTACATGCATACAAAGTCCATCACCGAAATACCTGACACTGGTCTATTTTATGAATATGTCGAGTGGTTCAGAATAATCCGTGGTGCCTGCCTTATCATGGACGAAAATTCCAGGTGTGAACAGACGCGACAAAACCCTTCCTATAGCCACGAGAGAACTCTGCTACAAGCAGAGTCTATTGTACGATTGCGACGTATTCATGAGCATGTGTTTATAAATCACTATGAAATAGTGATGACACCGTATGTGTTCGCGAAAAGGTGAGGGGATCATGCCCCACCGGTGGCACCCGTCACCAAAATAACATCGAGTACTTGATAATAAACCAAACTAACAATATCCATGTTGTCTGATTACAATGTCAATAACAGTACAAGGACACTCCACCTGGATGACCGGGTCGCGGTGCAGTGGTTGGTTAACGCCACACTCAGCAAAATACCAGCTACATGACGGCGGCATGTAAGTAATTGTGTCTGGACCAGACAATCCAGTGATTGATGGTGTACGCAACCAACCATGACAAGCCCGGGTTGCTGGGAACCCACTCCAGCCTTGACCGCCCCTCCCCCGGTGGTAGAATTTGTGAGTGGGTGGGTTTTTTCTCCGCTTTTAGAAATACCCCCGCTGTAACACTATGGGGTCACCAGAAATAGGTTTCACAAATTAAAGAGGGTGGTAACGCTCTAGGTTCAAGTCCAGTCTAGGGCCAGACATGAGAAGAAGTGCCTTGTGGAAATGTAGTCGTTATGGATGGAGTAATGAGTTGGCGTAGAAAAATGTGGGAATTAAACGACCAGCCTGACGTGACATGTTCTTATTAACTTGCTAAACATGATTAATTGACCCATGCACGTAACTGTCTTATCTGCACACCCCAGCATGAAAGTATGACATGTTACCATGATAATATGAAAGTATGACATGTTACCATGATAATATGAAAGTATGACATGTTACCATGATAATATGAAAGTATGACATGTTACCATGATAATATGAAAGTATGACAACATGTTACCATGATGTTATGAAAGTATGACAACATGTTACCATGATAATATGAAAGTATGCACTATGTTACTGTGATAATATAAAAGTATGACAAAATGTTACTGGGATAATATGAAAGTATGACAACATGTTACCATGACAATATGAAAGTATGCAACATGTTACCATGATAATATGAAAGTATGACAACATGTTACCATGATAATATGAAAGTATGACAACATGTTACCACGATAATATGACGGCATGCAACATTCTACTGCGATAACATGAAGAAATCGTGCTTAAATAATATGCTACTCACTGCCTTCTATCCGGGACACAATAGCGTCATAGTGTACAGTAATCCTCCACATGGCGACATCCATTGCAACACACGCATACAGGTGGCATGATGTGAATGTCAGGCCCCTGTTTTCGATGACAACTGATGAGTATTATGACAGCTTCTAAATCACCATTGACCTCTAGTATGGCATTTAACACGTGTGTGCCTGTCCATCTCCGTAGATATTGACCCGTACAGGTGCATCGGTGTCGGCGTGTTAGCGTCAGCTTCAGAAGTTGTGACCTATAGGGTTATCGCTGGATTACGTATATAGCTTCAGAGGGCCCAATATCACCGAATAATATAGCTATTTCAGGTTACATGGGCTGAGTCAGAGACTAGGCGCCTTTGATAAGGAGGGACGTAGAGAATGTAAGTCATTTTCTAAGGAATGTAGACTTGCTTGGTTCTTTGGAAATTATAATACTACATTCCAATGACACCGAGGTCTGCGATCTACGGTAGTTTTTACCGTACATTAACTATGGTACAGGCATTGTTAGTCTATGAATAAAAGAATTTGGGTCTAGCAAACCAGTGGTTGAGAGCATGAGCAAGAACCCGCGTGTAATCACACGCACTCAGCAAGGTTACTGCCTCATCCTTAAAAGGATGCTCCTTGGACACACGTGGTTAAGGCGATCTCGCAGAATCTTCACGGAGTGAATTTGTGAATCATTTGTAACAAGACTATCACCCTCCCTTTAAAAAAAAATGCAATGGATTAACTCCTAGATGGTTGCGAATCTTATTCGAATTTAATCGAAAAAAGTAAACTTTTGAATTGAATAACAAGAAAAAATTGAGATGAGGATAAGCATTAGGAAGTATTCAGCTGATATAACGGGCATTTATCTCACTGATGACATTCTGATGTTCCAATTCAATTTACTTGGTAAAACTAAGTTGACAGTCCACATATCAGCTGACTGTTCCATTCGTATGACGTACAACCGTGGAATGAAAGGCAGTTAATTTCACTCCATTGAACACACCCATCCCGTATACATGTCCGTCAAGCAATGCTTAACATGTCATCTATTACATGATTATATACTGAACAACAAAAGTTCCCGTGACATTGAATAAGATTTAATGCAAATTATGTCTTTCACCAAATCTGAAACAATTTCGGTTTGCAACAGATAAAAGACTCCTGTAAGTCTTCAAATGGTTTAAATTTCCATACTGACTTAAGAAAATGCGTGATTTCATAAATAAACATGAACATGCCATATGTCAATTTACAAATCAATAGCGTGTGTGTCCACCTCTGGTTGCGATGCAAGCAACGCATCTTCGTCTCATGGAATGGACCAGGCGTCGCACAAAGTCTTGTGGGATATCTGTCCATATCTGCTGGAGCATGTTTCGAAGTTCCTGGAGTGTCTGTGGAACACGTGGTAGACGTCGAAGGCGCCGATCCATCTCATCCCACATGTGCTCGATTGGTGAGAGATCAGGGGAGCGAGCCGGCCAGGGGATGACATTCACGTTATTTTGTTGAAGAGAGCCCTGAACAAGTCGAACAATATGAGGCCGGGCGTTGTCATGTTGAAAGGTAATGCCTGGGGCATGACGACGCAAAAACGGTAGAACAACAGGGGCCGATGATCTCGTCGCGGTAGCGCTGTCCATTGAGATTTCCCTCTACCACTATCAAACGGGTCCTCTTGTCTTGCTGTAATCCATACCCATACCATAACGCTGCCGACCCCGAACCGATCTTCTTCCATGACACCCATGATTGACGTAACGTTCACCTCGACGTCGGTACACTCGAATCCGTCCATCGCTGTGGCTGAGGTGAAAACGAGACCAAATAGTGTTTCTGTGGACATTAAATTGTCTTGCACCATCAAGTTGACTCGATCCTGTTCAACCATACCAATGGCTCGCAGACGCTTATTTTCGGTCAGGCGTGGCATTTCGTAATGTTGAATAATTGCGTACTTTTGTTGTTTTTCTGAGTGGTTGTTGTCGGCACGATGTTAAACAATGCATATGGACTCCCGTTAACGCACGTGTTTTTATACCCATTCTTGGGTAGTGAAATGCACGGGGCTTGCATAAAAGTCAACTTTTGCATGGAATGCATGCTTTTCTGTAGCAGATTTTTTCTTGTGACTTGATTCCATACATGTACTACAACACTGAAAACCAAACTTTACTTGTTTGAAAAATACACTAAAATATTGGTGTCACAGGAACTTTTGTTGTTGAGTATACATCAGTTGATTCAGTCATGGAATATTTTAAGTTCAAAGACCTTCCTTTACGCTTATCTACCAATCTAGCGAACATACGACTGCTCCATTTGAGAATAAATGAGTAGCAATTAAAGGCTGTTTTCCGATTACAACTTGTACACGTAAGGCATTCTGGTCAGTGTTGACATGGCGACAAGTAACGTGTAGATAAGACACGAGCAAAGGCTACTGACACAGCTACATTTAGCCCGCCAGGATCTTAAAATAGACCTGGGTCTATAAATATACCACGATATAAGTCAGTGTACCTATGTCGTTGCTGACCGTGTATAAAAGTACATATAGCCTTCACATGTTTGCCGTATCAGCTCGTAGAGCTACCATAAGTAGTTGCGCGGAACGTAGTGTCACTTTCTCTTTTTGAGTACTAACATTGTCAAGTAGTTAGTTTTAAGTAGGTATATTTCATATAGATATCATCTCCAGTAAGGTTAAGATATATGTATGAACAACTTCATTAGAGTTGGGAGCGACGTTTCGATGAATGTACTAACACCGTTATCATGATCAAGCAAGTGATGCTTGATAACGGTGCTTGATAACGGTGCTTGATAACGATGTTAGAACCTAGAACTTCTAAATGCCTCTCAAAGAAGTTATTATCCCCAGTGAATGAAATTTGTTCATGGATTACGTCAAAGTACTTCTATGGAGAAATATTATAGGTTTTCAATAAGAAATTTGTCCGACCTGCGAATTTATCAAATCTGATCCCGTACGTGAATTAAAATGACGAGAATGAGAGTATTTGGTAAAACGCACCGGTTTCGCACAATATTTGTGTATACACGTGTGGAGGGAGTGGAGGAGTAGGATCTTGGATTTTCCAGAAATATCAAAGGAACATTTAATTTGTTCTTGATGCAAATGGAGACAATGTAATTTGTACCCCTCCCCCCTCATAACACCCCCCCCCCCCCCCCAAATCACCCCCTCCCCCGTCCCCAGTAAAATGTATGGCGAGTCCCTTATAACTTTGCAAATGATATAACTGTCCGTTAGTATTAAATTCAATGTGACCCCGACAATCCCTATCACATCCGGGTTATGAGAGCCCTCCTGGCAGCACAGGTGGACATCGGTGGGTACGTTGGTAGGATATGGGTCCCATGTCAGTATTTATTACCAGGAAATTCCACCATGATACCAAGTATCAACGACTTCAACAACAACTTATTCCGCCCAATCTGTGTAGCCAGGAGTGCCCTTGCCATTGACTCTAACCTTTATCCGCCAGGCGCACTCAGCATGCCAAGCCAAGAGGCCATCATGATTGTCGTCTGTTGGATAGAGGTAACGTCGAGCGTATTTTTGGAAGGGTTAAAACGTCAGGGTGTATTCATAGTACTATCACACACAATTACACCAATCTGAACAAAAAATAAACCAGCACACTCACTCATTGATGGAACCGGGTGTTCCGAAACGAATAATTGAGCCCTACCGGAGGGTCATGGTAAAGGGAGATAACCGACGTTGATTTTTGGAACTGACTGAAAAGTCGAATCGATCAATGGTTTTCCGAATACTACCAGACTGTATATGACTAACTACATGTTTCCGCTAGAGATGTCGATGTATAAGGGGGAATGAGTTGTGTAGTAACCTAACGCGCCGCATGTCGCTGAGACGAGTTACGTCCCTTGCGGCCGGAAACAATGATCGTGGCTTGAGTCCCACATTCGCCCTGAATATATTGCTGGGATTGTCAGCTCCATACCTGTGCTTGTGGATGTCACGTTGGGGTGTAATTCCCCATCAAGCTAACACGCCTTTATAATAACAGTTACTACAATACCCTTTTTCAGGACGTGGTTAAACCAAACTCACCCCTTTATCACGCTGAACTCAGTTGTGTATGTGTATATACATACATGTTTTGGCTCTACATACAATTACGCCTACATGCATCTCATCGTCATTATGTAATAGTGAGTGAGTACTTTTAACAGTTTTACAGTTATATCGGTGCGTGTCAGTTCTGTGGGGGGAAAGCCCGAAGTGATGCAGGTCTCAGACGTTTACCACTTCGGTGAAACCCTTGAGCACAGGTATGGTGCTGACAAACCTAGAAACATAACCGGGTCTAGTACTGCTGCTGTTGCTGCTAATATTACTTATGTGCTAATGAAGTAGAACAATAATATCAATAATATATTATAAGACAAACATTTGACTCCCCCCCCCCAAAAAAAAAAAACAACACCCACCCACACACACACCCACACCTCAGCCCCAGCAGAAGTCAACGGCTGGAGTCGCCGTTCACCCCACAACAGGACCCCCTGGGAAGTACACGTCGAATAGACGAGATTGGCGTAATTCCACAGGAGGTACCTGTGGTAGCTCATTTTCAAAATACATCCGCCTGTTTGCTGAAGCTTCTCGTGAGGCGTAGCGCATAACCGATTTTCTACAAAACACGATGAAGCCAAAGAACCCCAATAATTTTTTTTTTTTTTTTTATAAATGTGACATTTCTATGTTTTATTTACTTTAGTTCAAGTAACATGCGGATACGTTAATGACGTGCCCGGCCATACAAAATGCCGTCCTTGCTTTTTGCCGTAATGTCTATAGTCGATGCTGCTGTAATGTCGTTTACGTACAAGGATGTAAAGTGATCCTCGTACAAGTATGACACCAACATATTCGTTAAACAGCCGCCCCCATACGACGCTGACGTAACGTTATTCACTGCACCCTATGGGCGGTTGACATCGACGCTATATAAGTGCAGTAATCTTGAAGGCGACGTTAAACCCCAGATCGTCCGAACACCACGCATTATTGGGTAGGAGGGTCACATCTGTGACCTTTGCGTTTATCCGGGTGGTCCAAAAGCGTTAATCACTGCCATACCTATGGTGGGCCGTTCCTACAGTAGCACAAGTCCGCATTGTACTACATACACACGCACTTCATTCGCCCTGTTGTGACGTCGTGCGGTGATGACGTCACACTTGTCACTTGACACCGTCATCGTGCTT